AAAAACATGATACAAAATATGCTCTTCAGTTCTTTTCAAGATTAATAGCTTGACCTATGCTTTGCTAGTTTGGCAATCCCGTCATCACATTGTCAGTGTAGCGTGGATTCACGTGATATGGAAAAAGACCAAATGGCATAGTCTAGAACATGGACTGGACTTGACATGGACCGTGGTAGAAAATATGGACTCGGGGTCAGACGCATCTGGAAACCTTATCTTTATGTCACATTGACGATCATCATAATGTAGCAAAATTTTTATTTTTTTAGATCCAATTCCAAATTTATAAGCAAACTATTCGTGCCGGTTTTTATTCTTGTAAGGTGATCGTCGACATTTTCTATCTTTTAAGTGATTGTAACGTGCCGCATACTCTCTAACGTGACTGTAACGTGCCGCATGACTCGTAAAAATACACAGCCGTATCAGATGCTTAGCCGACTGATAACCTCTATATACGTACTCTCGTATGGTATGGACTCGGGAGAAAAAAAGTTGAGAATTAGTAGGTAAAGTCACGAGAACGAGAACGAGAACGAGAACGAGAACAATTTAGCTGTTATATATGTTCTGACATGTTCTAGTTATTGTTTGTTGGTTATTATAAAATTTAACGCTTCTCTTATAAATGGAATTATACGTGAAGTACTTTAAAAAAGGTTAGGTGCTTCCTAGTCTCCTACCGGCATACGCTCTTAGGGTGAGTCAGGTCTGTATAGAAGGCTATTACGTTTCGTGCATACCTCGAACAAACACTAAACGGGTTCTGTTTAGGGGGTGGGGCAAAATCCGGGGGTGGGTCACATAATTTTGAACTCCTTCAAAGGGGTGGGCTGTTGATAAAATTTGACAACTTAAAAGGGTGGGCCATTACAAAATAGAGTAGTATTATAATTGTCATCGTCAGAATTTCTCAAGGAAATTTGCAGTTGCAGAGGATCTGGTTAGGAAGTATGTAGAACATCTGTAGTACCTTCGAATGAAAAAAATTAAAAGGGCAAATGAAAAGAAAAAAATTAGGAAGCATGCAGAGAAACTTAAGGCATACGAAGATTATGACTGGAAAGACATTCAAGAAAGCGGAATGCTTAAGAAGCAGAGGGTTGCAGTCTTGGACCTCTTTTTAAAAAAGCACAACTTGCTCGAGCTCAAAAGTGAGAACGTCCAAGTAATATATCCTTGGCTGTCTATGTAGCTTTTAAATACTACGACAAGTACAACAGAGGAAGAACATGAAGAAGATGGTACTTCACGTACGCGAGGACACTGAAGATGATGATAATTCATGAGGACACTAATGAGGATATTGAAGATTTGGATAGCGACGAAGAAACTGACACTGTTACTCATGAAATAGGAATTACTGATAGTGAGGAAAACGATGACAGAGAGTCCTTTCACAGGACTTTACAAGGTTTCAAGTAACACTATGTGACCCAAAAAATAACCCATTGATTGGCTGGTGTTCTAATGAGTATGAGAAAGGTAATTTCCCCACACTTCTGGAGCAGCTGGTAACTTCTACAGGTAATTACGTATTGATGGAGTTTTCATATAAACAATGTTTTTCTCTTTGAATTAAATCTTAAGCAGCAAGTTGTGTCTCAAGCACTCAAAAATCCTCACACCTTGTACTAGTAATTTATTTATTTCTTTGGACTTGTTTTTGATTTTAAAGAGATTACCGTAGCATTTTTCTTAATTCCCGACTACTAAAGTCAATTTAATATAATTTTAGCTTATTTCAATTTAATATCAAGTTTGAGTTTAAGTTCATATAATATTAAGTTTAAGACTGCTGCAGATGTTGGCCAACGTGCATGATGATCCTTTACGTGCCAGGTCTTCAGTAAAACTTGTTTCTCCTATTAAAATAAGAGCCATGGCGTACGATAAGTAAGGTTACAGAGTAAGCGAGATCTAGGGACTTACTACGCCGGTTACAAATGGAGAATATAAGACCTTTTTTCACAGTCCTTAAGTACAATACTGGCCGCTGCGTTCATTAATTACACACTCAATTAGTTAGGGTTAGCTTTTTGTTAGTGTACAATAATTCACAAATACCAACGGCAAAATAAAGAATGCACAACTTCAACAATACAAACTGCATTTTGAAATTCGACGGACCTTTACTGCAATACATGAAATATTGTTCAAAAAAGAGAGAGGCTAAGGTAGAGCAACAAAGGACTCGAAAAGAAAATAAAGTTTTTTGGTTTTAAAAGAACTAATTCTCGAAGAAAAGTCAATTATTTAATCTATTACTTACCAGCCTTTCACTTCCTTTCTCTTTTCCACCTCTTTGAAATCTAGTTAAAGCAAATTATGTATTGAGACAGAACTAGGAGGCAGGGAGTTTCTCTGGGCAAAGGGCTGGAACAGTGTTTAATTCGTGGTGTCACGTTCCATCTCTCGATTTTCAAAATGGTGCCGAGTTTGAAGACGGATAGATGATAAAAAGGTCAAAATATTCTTATTATGACGACTTTCTAGAATAACTATAATAGAGTACTCAAGTAATGACGCTTGATCATATTTTTGGTTAACAATTTCCATAGACAGTCAAAAAAGGCGTTTACACACCAAATTTGACGTGAATCGGACCGATATCAGCTGAGATATAGTCATTTGTATATATCATTACCCCATACAAATTACTGTATTTTCGGCTTAGTTCAAAACGTTTTATATTAATAGATAATAGCAAAAGCTCTCGAGTTGGGAGTCGAAATTAAAGATTGTAAATATACGATGAGTGATGTGGTGGAAAATATGACTAATTCATTATTCAGATATAATATGTAAATGTAAATACACAGCGAGTCGGAATAGCAGGTGACTTGTATCCAAAGGTTGTATAGGCCCTGGGGTCTTGCTTCGGGGAAAAATTGCTATATACAAAGGAATTAAAAACATACTTGTGCAAATGCCACATTTCTTGAAGCAAGTACTCTTGAGAAATTGCCGAAGGCGTGGATCGTTGGAACGACAATCAGAGGGTGTTCCAAATTGCCCGCATGTGTGAGGCAAAAGGTCGTAACAGCCTGGGGGAAAAGATGTCATAGCAATTAATTTGATCTCGGTCTTCTTTTGTCCTCTCCTCTCCTCTTCTCTCCTCTCCTCTCATCTTTCCCTTCCTTTCCCTTCCCTTCCCTTCCCTCCCTTCCCTTCCCTCCCTTTCCTTTCCATTCCATTCCATTCCATTCCATTCCATTCCTTTCCTTTCCTTTCCTTTCCAGTGCTACTCACGAGGACATCCAACTCCTGGTCTTTTATCTTTTTTGGTAGCTGGAATAACATCATCATAACAGCATCCATATTTGCTATTGACGCAATCCTTTGAAGGTCCAGTTCTCCAGTATCGACCTGTGAAATGTAGGCAATCCTTTGAATCAGTATAATCACTGATTATCTCATCTTTTATCTTGTTCTGAAAGCAAGGATTTCTTGGGCTACCTTTGGCGGCCTAGAAAATCCAAGGCTTTTCGATATGGATTTGGGCATTGTTGGACTGATTTAGCCACTTACTAGTACTGCTTCTGCAATGTTTACATGTCTTGGGGCATAGGTCACGCATCCCTTCTCCATAACATCCAACTTTGCTCTTACGAGTTGCGCAATCCTTGACTTTATCGTAGCAAAGCGATGCTGTAAAAAACGAAACAAAAATCGGAGGAAATAGAAGGGAAACAAGGGTAGTGTGCATTGTATTGCGCTGCTTCTCACCAATGCGACCCGGGTTCGTGTCACGGGGGGCTTGTGTTGGTAGAATTGTTTGTTGGTTCTTTCCTGTACTTCGAGGGTTTTTCTACCGGTTTTCCGGTTTTTCTCCCTCCATAAAAATTAACGCTTTTAAAATTCGTTCCAATTCTATCTGGCATCCCGTTCTTTAATCATGACTCGAGATACTAATCAATCACTCCTCGTATGTTAATATTTAATTATAATATAGAGGATATTACATGGGCGCTTGGAGATATATCTTCGAGTGTTGAAAAGATCTCTCACAAGTGAGCGCAGCGAACGAGTGAGAGATTTCCAACACGAGAAGATCAATTTCGTATCTCCAAGCGGCCATGTAATATTCTGTTTATTATATAATTATCCATAACATCGACTTAACAAGCTTTTTATTATTATAAAAAGTTTTTATTCATAAACAAATAGCTTAAATACACATGGTAACGATATTCTCACATGTGAAAATAACATGTTATTTTTACATTTGAAAATATCACTTTTTCGAAAAGGAGAAATACAGGTATTTTATGGATAGTTATATGATAAAGTCAATTATTACATAATTGCGTAAATTATAACACATAATATAATTACAGAAATAGGCATGTTCGACGTAAAATAATTTACATTTACACATTACATTTTACAAGGGAATTAAAAGAATGAGTAGAAAAGGTAATCTTAATTCTAGTAACAAGGGAGGAAAATAGTAATACATGCATGTAGGATAGAAAGGTATAGTCAAGGTGGTTGGCTGGACGTCCAAGCTGGAGGTTAGTTTTCAATGGAATACAGTTAAAGAAAAAGGTTTTAGCAACAACGGTTTTCTTTGAGATGAGCCATAAATGTAAGTTGGACTGAAGCCCAAGTTATGTTTTCTTATTTCGCATTGTGTTTGTTATCAGTAAAAAGAGTAGGTTGTAGTTATGGCCTACCTGAGCATTCTGAGTTGCTACCATTTCCATAGGCATAGGTAACACCGTCTGGACAGCAGCCATACTTTCCTCGGCTACAGTCCAACAGACCTTGTAAAACGAAACAAACAAACAGCCATTTAAAATAATGAAAAAAGTAAGCGAAACTAGGCGCGTCTGGTAGTTTTTGAAATTTAGCGTAAATAGGTTTTGTATAGAAATGGAAAAGTGGAGGAAAATCCTCGAATCAAGGGAGAGTTCTAACAAACTCTAATCATATTCAGCCTGGCGGATCCAGGAATTTGACTACTACAAAGGTTTTACCAGGAATTCGAGTAAAAGGTGGATGACTGTTACAAACAATATACTGAGAAGTTTGAGCAAAAGGGGGGTGACTAGTCACCTATATTACCACCCCTGGATCCACCCCTGACACGCGATACCAAGTCCAGGAATTTCAAGACCAATATAAAAGGAAAATTTTAGAATTCATGTCGTTAAAAGTACTTTAAACAGATATATATCACTTACGATGGATGGCAGCCCGTGCTAAGCTTAGCTCAATCGTCAGAACAACGAGAACCATCATAAAACAAACCACTGCAATCTTCTGGGGTTTCGCCATTTTCGGTAACGAAGGAAATCTTCTCGCACTGGTTGGATGGTAGTCTTCTTGTGTGAATCTTTCTTTTCGGGGTTTGTCTTTTCATGGTGTTTCATGTATGATTTTTTTGAATAACGGTAATCAACCATGAAGGCTGGGACGGGTGCCATAATGCATTCTTGCATAATCAAATAATGATGTAAGATCAAAGAAAATAGAAAAGAAAGAAAGAAAGAATATTTTCTTATCAGCAAGTACTCTAGAACTCTGACTTTCAAATGTCTTGAACCATGCAAAGTTATCTATGTGGGTTGATTTTCAGGAGGCCAAGTGCGTTTAAGTTAATATTTTTATCAAGTTATTAGGTATCTCTAATATCGATTCGTGTAAGGATTGTTTAATATTTAATTAGTTGACCTTGGTTGGCCAAGTAGACTTACGTAACGAACGTCTTGACAGAGTTGTTGAATAATTGAACATAATTAACCGGCAGTTTTTGCGAAAGGAATTTTAGATCTTCACAAGGAGGATGGATGAACAAGAGATTTAAGTAGAACTATCTGTTCAAATAATCGTTAGCAAATGAAAATCAAACTAAGAGTCAAATGTAACGCTAAAATAAAAAAGGAAAATAGGAGAAATAGTTCATCCAGGTGAAAGCTTCTGGTACCAGTTTTAATTCTTCCCAAGCCAGAGAGAATTCTGTTATTATTTGACACTAATATCAGGTATATAATCCTAGTGGCATCCTACAGATTTGAGCGCCCCGGTGTACGTTCCCTCAGTCCTAGAGTTGCCATATTTAGAAAGCGGCTGCCAAATTATCCTGAAATCAAGAAGAAGTTTGGAATTTTCCTTTTTGATGTTCCTATGTTGAAAGCCGAAAATAGGGAGTTTTTCAGTGCACAGCTAAAAAAAGATTTTAACAGAGAAACGAGATGAATTTTTGCATTAAAATAACAGCTGGGTACAGAAAACGTAGTTATGAACCGTTTTACTCTAATTAAACTCTCGAAAAGCAATCGCTGAAATAGCGAGAGATCTAAAACATATATTGTATTAGCTTTACAGGGCATTGTGGCACATTTTGCAGGCTAAAATGAATAAAACAGCGGGCTAAGATATATTTTTCATATTGTTTTATCGAAAACTATAGAGACAGCCTTTTTCAGCTTATTATCTCTTGAATTCATTTTTCGCAAACATAGAATAAATTCTATATGTCTGTTGACATTTTTACTGAGGCATTGTCAAATTTCTTCAAAGCCAATAACGCGAAATACTATTATAAAAAATGTCTATTTTAAAGATTTTTTCATAAACTCTGTTTACCGTGAGCTTTCAGAAAATGTATGCTTTATTTGTGTTACACTGTAAAGCGAGTGCGTTATTTAAGTTAGCGCGCATAGTGATCGTAAACGTGTCTTAATAATAGAAATACGGTATCACTGGTGCTAGTAAGATAGAAGAACGAATAACTGTACCATATGTAATATTAATGATATTAATAGAACCATGATCACGTGATGTATAATAGATACTATTGGCTGTGTGGCAGACCGTATCACTGGTACTAGTAAGATAGAAGAACGAATAACTGTACCATATGTAATATTAATGATATTAATAGAACCATGATCACGTGATGTACAATAGATACTATTGGCTGTGTAGCAGACCGTATCACTGGTACTAGTAAGATAGAAGAACGAATAACTGTACCATATGTAATATTAATGATATTAATAGAACCATGATCACGTGATGT